CATTTGGACACGAGATCAGAAAAGTGTTACGACCCAATACTACCTGATTAAGTCTTAAAAAATACTATTGCATTAACGTTCCTGTATAAAAATAAAATACCAATAATGGAAACCATTTCAAAAATAACAAAAATAATAAAAAATAATAATAATGACTGCACGGTTGGTGCGGTGGCTGGGCAACCGGCTGCCGTGCAACGTGTCGCGGGTTCGATTCCCGCACGGAACAACTCTTTGTGTGATCCACAAATTGTTGTTTCGGGTCTGGGTGTAATGTGTATGTGAACTTGTATGTTTGCAAACGCACCCACGACACAGGAGATAGTCCTAGTGTGGGGCAACGTTTTCAAAAAAAAAAACTTATTTAACTTGACTTCAAACAGGCAGATAACAAGATTACAATATTAATACACATCTTCAACCTTAACTCAAATCAGAGATATGAAAAACCAAAAAAAAAATGGAATCAATAAAAACCTTCTGAGTATATTCTTGTAATTCGATAGCATGAAGATTAAAGGCCCTCCTCTCCTCTGAGGCCTTTTGGCCCTCCTTGTGGTAACTTAGTTTGAATCATCCGATACGAGTATTACTGTCCGATTACCATACAATTTGCAACTGCTATCGGTTGCTAGATCGGTGAAGTTTGGTTTCATAAGCTGTAGACTGCAGGTAACTTGATGGATAACAACTTTTGGTTGGATAGAGTTAGAATGCCTATTAAAACAAGTAAACGGTGAAATGAATAATGTACGATCTACGAATACGATGATTTTTAAACTGACCTTGCACGATAACTAGTCTGTATAGATTCAATCGCAGTTGTGGTTTCTATATCAAGTCATTGATCTATTATTTCTTATTGTAACCTAATTCTTATAACTTTATTATCCCATTAGTTAAATGTAACATTGGTTTGACTGCCGGGCAAGGGGTCTCGGGTACGATTCCGGGTCGGGCAAAGTATAACTGGGTTTTTAAAAAAAATCTTAGTGGTAGCCTGGAATTGTGCCCGGTATATGGCAAAAACAGTAAAAAGTGAGTGTTCCAATGTATAGTGTAATTACGTGCCGTAATAATTATGCGCCTCTGCCTACCCATTCGGGGATAAAAGGCGTGATGTTTTGTCGTTTAAACTGTCAAACACCAAGCGGTCACCGGTGACCGCAACCTATTGTTCTATAATTGTGTCTATAATGACGGTACTCGACGAGTTAAATTTAAATAATGAATAGTTTTTAAAATTTTCAACCACTTGGTTGTATCAAATCATACCCATCTTTAAGCCTTAGCAAGTACCTATCACAAATTATAATATGCAAAAGAAACATCAAGCTTTAAATGTTATCTAGTTTCAGAAGAAATAGAAAAAAACATTACTTAAGCCCGGATTGCGATGCAATTTGTGTGAGCAACCACTGGCGACCAATAAGAATCGCAATTACATAATAAGCTCTCCCCAACAACCAATCAGACTGTCTCCAAACAGAGTAGCTATTTATCCGTATTTTGATTCAATTTCACTTGATCTACATTTGCTTGGAATTGGGTCGATAGAGACTTAAATAGGGTTTCGGTTAAAACCAGCTAATTAATTGAAATTAATTGTATATTAAGTTACCTGTAGATGCGGATTATTAATTGTTAGGTTAAGTGGTTTTAAATGGGACTCTTAGGAGCGTGTGTTTTGGTAGGATTTTTATTAATATTACCTTAGTTTAAGGTTACGTCTTTTACGTAGGTAGTGAAGTTTCTATTTATTGTGTACACTCACTCTTCGTCAGCCAGTCTTAGTTCACGAACCTCATGAAATAGACAACAAGTCATCGTAATTCCAGGCTCAATGCTTATTTCGTGGACTATTTACATAATCAAATTATATTTAAAGCCGTTTCTTAGCACGTAACCATCTTTCTTCATCAAATTTCGAGTTAAAAATAGGATAACACCTAAAAGACAAGATAATAAACTTAACTTTAAGGTGTAAAATGACAAACAACAACAAAAGTCGTAACCGCCATTACATAATAAAAAAAAACGCAAAATGGCCGCCTGCAAATGGCGCCAAAAGGCCACAGACTAAAAAAATTGCACAGATAAAACATAAAACAATAAAAAGTCAATGTACCGAAATATTTCGCGAGCTGTAATATTCACGCCCACGTTTTAAGGGGCCTGACAGTGAAACGGGTAGGCTGGAATGAATTACACGATTCTCTTTATACTGGGCACATCTGAAACGCCTTCTGAGCATTTTAGCAACACCAGAGAGATAACGGGAAAGTGGTGATTCTAGTATAAATTTACGATGTTTTAATATTATGGACATTTTCTTTGTGTAACTTTTTTGTCTACATTATCATCTAAGCTAACTTGTAACTTGAGCAGATTCATAGTCAGCTGTTATGGTAACCACGGTAAGAGCGGGGCTAGTGCCCAAAATGTCTTCCATCACCGTACTTCTGTTATTTACCATACAATAAGCTCTTAATATGGAATTACCGTCAATTATATCCTTTTATAATTCAGTTAAAGTGGACAGTTGAGACTAGTTGCCCTAAATGGATTAGCAGACTATATTTGTTGGATGTCCTTGTTCAAGGACGAGGTGTTAATCAAGAAAGGAGATACATATCTCCTACTACATAGTATTTGAACATTACCTCTATATTAAAGGTTTGTAATAAATCTATTAGCTAACTTCCTACTAGAAGCAGTAAATCATTATAGTTTGCGTACTTTTAGTTTTATTCTTATTTATTTAAGTATCTTTATTTATATTTTTTTTCTAAACTGAGCAGGTTATACAATTGTACATAATAAGCTAAAATAGACTTTTGGGATTCAAAGTCTTTGATCATGGCACTAACCACAACCAACATGGTTGAAATAATTATGTTTTAAGCAGCGATAATTGTGGGGGCCAAATGAAATTCAAGAATCACACAATTATCTACTAAATGAATACTACCATCAACAACAACATGGATCAAATTAAAATTGCAATTAGGTACTAAAGTTTCAACTTTATCCTTTTCAGTTGGTAACTTATTGAAATAATTTGTAATTTTGGTTACGATAACCGTGCGCTGCGTTGGTTGCAATAAAAGTGCAAATTATTCGCCTCATTACGTATATTTCGCATCGATTACTTGCCTACATTGAAACCACAGAATCGATGGGGAGTCAGGGCTACCCATGTGCAGAAAAGTAAATTTTTTAAATTAAAAAAGTCAACCGAAAAAAGCTGGAATCGTAGCTGATGTGTAGCACTAGGCAAAACCCTATTACACGGATCTGAATAGTGTGAATCACACAAGTGGTCAAAACTTGATGTTAAAATCAAATAGACCAGTTTGAGGCAGTTTTGAACATCAACATGAATATGGATAAAAAAATGTAATGTTCAGTTATGTTAAATTAAGCGACAACTCACTCATTCAGTGGAATCTAGAACTAAGTATTTGTTAAAACAAAACATTGGTAGATTTTTTTGAATTAATTCATGACCATTGGTTTTCAAAGAATTTATGCGTAGTATGTGTTAGTAAAAATATTCGATAAAACATTAGCTTAAATGACCTAGGGATTCCTAGACTATATTTAAACATAACTGAGTTTCAACTAAAGTTTTAGGATTAGGGTGGAATTTTAATTTATGTGTTTGAAGGCTCATGCGCCTATTCATAATAAGTCTAGGTATAAGTAATAGGTACTGTCAAATATTTATTATTAGACTTCAAATACAGCCTGACTCGTCGGCCGAGTGGTCATATGAGCGACTGCCGGGCAAGGGGTCTCGGGTTCGATTCCCTGGTCGTGAAAAGTATTTCTAGATTTTTTAAATCTCAGTAGTAGCACGGAGTCTGGATTTGTGCCCGGTATATGGCAATAGGCTCACCCCCTATTACATGGGACTTATAACAGAGATAGTGAAAAGTGGGTGTTACATTGTAGAATGGCATTAAGTGACGTAATGTGCACCTATGCCTACCCCTTCAGGGATAAATGGTGTGCGGTTATGTCAAATACAGAATTTTTTGAATGTCTTGAAGTTTATTTTGCATCATGGGCGTGAGGGCAACTGACTTACATATTAAATTTATTTGTAACAATCCACACACCATTTTTACACCGTGAAGAAGTGTTGAAGTTTCCAAATTCAGCCTTTAGTCTTTCAATTATTAGGCAGGAGCGATACCAAAGAGTCCCTATTTCCTTCACATAATATTTTCGATATTAAAACACAATATACTAATGGTATCTGAGAAAACTGACAGCCCTACACTGAGCATCTGAAAACCGCATCGAAGGTGTGTAATCGTGACGAATTACTGCCCAGCGCTCCGTAATAACGTAAAGTTTTGTTAAAACGCGTTTACTTCTGACATTTATCTTCTCACTATACTTTATTGTTCGAGTGGCAAGTGCGACTGTCAACCAAGAGGTGTCCAGTTCATTTGTCATTCCACTTAAATTACGATTTTCGATAACAGTTCGGTGATCGGTGTGTTATGTGTTATTTAACAAGGTTTTGCCAGCTACTTTGCACCCGTGAGCTTGTGGGATAAAAACTGGTCTATGTGTTAATCATGTCGTGGTGGCCTGGAGGTTTAAGACGCCCGCTTCTCATGAATAAGGATGCGGGTTCGAAACCTACCAATGGCTAGTACCAATGTGACATTTCCGAGTTATATGTACTTTCTAAGATTATTTAGACACCACTGACAAACGGTGAAGGAAAACATCGTGAGGAAACCTGGACTAATAATTTCTAATTAAAAGTTTGAAATCGCGGGTTTTTCACCAACTCGACACGAGGAACTGATCACACGTGTGTCCAGTTGGTGAAACTTTAAATTAGCACTAATTATTCTTTCGTCATTTGGATACGCCAAGGTTTTTATGTATGTCCACATAGTGAAAATTAAAATTAATTACTTTTATGTTATCGTCAACTGGACACACCTATTTTTTTTTCTAAAAAAGGTACAGTTAAGTTAAAAATTGTTTCGTTTTTAAGACAAATTTTGAAATAAAACAAATGAGTAACAATCAAATATTTATATTAGAGGATTTATTGATATAAAGGAGAGGATTTACTAATAAAAAACAAACTTACCTATATCTACACATTCTAAATATACCTAATAATTTAAAATCATCACATCAAATGTCACAGAAATATCAAATAATAAGCACATACATAATTTAAGTGAAAAAATATTTTTCCTATTGCTCAAGGTTAAACTCAATGATGTTTTTAATATTGAACGATACACTCCACTCCTATACGAAGTTGCTGTCAAGTTTATATTTATGAGAGCGGAATTGAAACATTTAACCTTAAGTAGGTATACTAGGTATATGTGGTATAAAATAAAATATCAAAATAGTCATCAATAGAGCATGAGATAACAATACCAAAATGAATAATTTTATATACAATAATCATTCCCCACAAGTCTGCAACAATAATATGGCATTTAGAAATTAGAGTCTTACTGTAATAATAATAATTAAACAAATAGTATCACAATCATTTTACTAAGACTAGACTAAAATAATATAGAGATCAATACAATCAACAATAAAACATAGAATATTACTATTACAAAAATATATAAAGATATTTCAATTTACTTCAATTTTTCGATACAGTGACCGATGCTAATTTCTCTTGATTCAAACTCTCTTACAGTGTCTGCAATCATTGTGTTCATTCTGATAGTTTCAATTTTTTTTCTTGATATAGGTCCATCCATCACTACCCGGCGCCAAAACTCATTCATGTCTCTTTTGATCGCGACCAGGAACTGTAATATATTTGGTTTCTTTTTTAATTTTTTGGCTATTCTGGCATTCCATGCCTCTACAGAATTATTAGTGCGATGATGTTCTTTATAACAATTGTATGTGTTTGCATAATCAGAATTATCATCCAGCCAAGTTTTGATAAAATAGTCGTTAAATGTTGTTGCATCTTCAGTGTTCAAGCATTCCGCCATGATATATAACCAGGCATCTGGTTGTGCGTCAATCGGTAGAAGTGGCAATGAACAACACCTCTTCACATGATCTTTTCCCAATTTAGACTTTGTTAAACGCAACATTTTTGCTTTTCGCCACAAACATCTCTTGAAATGAGTATAGCATCCCACAATTTTTATATTCGGAAATTCATGTTGCAAAGCTTGAATAAGAGGCTTTTCAAAATCACATGTGATGGTTTCTGGGTTCCACTCCGGTATTTGGCTTTTAATTAAACAAAATAATGTTTTGTAAGTATCAACTGTTCTGTCGGGCAGCAAAGCATAGATAGTGGGAATAATGTTCGTATGATATTCCGTACTTCCAATATCGACATGAATCGTGAATAGCTGATGGAACTTTTTAACGCATGTTTTAAACGTTCCATCACAGAAGAATTTATTTGAATTTGCAACAATCTCTCTCATGTTATGGTGCGCAAAAACGAGAATACGTTGATCTCCGATGCGATCCGCTAGCAAGATGTCTTGAAACTGCTCAGGTACAACTATTTCGGCTATATTATTGAATGACATACGTTGAACGCCCAATGATTTGTTCCTTTTTCTATATAGTTTATTTTTCACACTTTGAAAACGTGGGATATTTGCAACTAAATGGAGTCCTCTCTCTTCCATTCGCTCAATCGTGTCAAAGTATAGACTTGGGACAGAAGCAGCTAGATTATGCTTTACTTGATCCTCGCAATCATTTAAATTCATTAGAATCTCGTTATTCGTCAAATCACCCTCATGATTATGATCAGTTGCTTTTAATATAGTGGTGTTGTTAAAATTTAATTTGATCATAGCTTGACAAGTTGACTTTTTCGAACAACGCCACATTGAAGATTTATCTTTATTTGTCCTTAGGTGTAGATATTTGTATCCATCTTTTAATAGAATTGGACGATTTCTTTGAGAAGTGATGAATGAAAATGTATTTCTGTTAGTCAATGATGGACCCGCGACTTCTTCTATAGACATATTTGTCTTTACATGAAACAATAAACAAGAGTTTTTTTATAACAAATTAAATATTGCGGCATTACTAAATTGATATAGTTAAAAAAATACGTTGTAAAATCTAAAACTAATTGAATACTTACCTATGTATTAAAATCCACGTCACTTTAAAATGGCACAAACACTGCACTTAATGCACACACCAAACGAAGTAAACTGATAACGAATTATGACCAAAGGGTTACCGGGTTGGGATTTATTACCTGCTTCAACCAATTAGAGCAGACTACGTCATTTTAAGTCACCGGCCGCCGGGAATACAAAAGACTGTAATAAAACAGGTTCCATGTTGAAGATTTGACAAGCATAGTACTCGTAACATGGTAATAGCGACTTTCAAACACTTTCGGTGTCAAAAATATATTTTTTACAAATTCACAAATGGTGAATAATTACAAAATTACCCGGTGAAATTACTAGGTGGGACGTTTAGAGGACAACGATGATTGTGATTCAAAAATATTATCTGCGTGACTGTACTTTGTTATACATTCGGGTAAAATGTGAACGTGTGTCCAGTTGACGAAAACACAAAAGTAACTTAATTTGATTTTCACTATGTGGACATACATAAAAACCTTGGCGTGTCCAAATGACGAAAGAATAATTAGTGCTAATTTAAAGTTTCACCAACTGGACACACGTGTGATCAGTTCCTCGTGTCGAGTTGGTGAAAAACCCGAAATCGCCAACCCGCATTGAGCAAGCATGGTGATTAATACTCAAACCTTCTCCGTGTGAGAAGATACTTTGCTCAGCAGTGGGCATTTAAACTGTCAAACACCAAGCGGTCACCGGTGACCGCAACCTATTGTACTATAATTGTGTCTACAAAACCGGTACTCGACGAGTTAATGGCTGTTGATGATGTGTTAATCCAGACCATAACTTACTCCTGTTCCTATTTTCATCTCGATCCCTTCAGCCGTTTTAACGCGAAGGAGTAGGTAACAAGCAAACAAACAGACATACATAATTCCGTATTAATAATATTAGTCTGATAGATCGTTTGACCACAATCTCGCATGAAGCTAGTGCGACGAGACGGAGCGAAGTATGCAAATTGCATATTGATAACATTTCCACTTGTCATTTGAAGACGCATTGATAAGTTTGCACCTTTCTAGAAACGTAGAATTCATAGAGAAACTTACATTTACGTGTTTACGTGTACTTAGTTTTTTTATACTTAAAAAAACGTTGCCCACACTAGGATTTTCTCCTGTGTCATGGGTGCGTTTACAAACATATAAGTTCACATAAACTTGACACCCAGATCCGGAACAACAATCTGTGTATCACACAAAGAGTTGTACCGTGCGGAAATCGTACCCGCGACACGAAACGTGGAGTTTATTAAGATAAACACCAACGTGTAACGTGTCGCGGATATACTAAGCCATAACTATCCTCGAGAAATAACATACTAAGCGTTATATTATATTATACGCATAGTTAAGTGGCTCTAATTAGACATACTCACTATTTCTGCCTACCCTTTACCTAAAACAACCTATTCTAGATAGGTACATGAGTAAAGCAGTTCGTCATAATACAATAGCCGGGAATCTCATTACCGTACAAACAATAGACAATCTGACAGTGGACACACAAAATTACAATGAACTAGTTTCCAGTCCCAAATCAGATCCGATCCTAGCGCGTGGAGCGTTTACGTCGAACTAGTTACTGGGGACAGTAACTGGAATCGTCGGTATGTCGGTTTAAATAATGAGACTAACAATTTAATTGTTCTCTGTTTTCCTTTCCTATTTCGTATGTTAATTTTAGTTATAAATACTCTATTAGTTTTGATTTATCTTGGCCACAGTAATTTATTCTTTAGTTTATAGATTACTTTAATTTTATTACATGGGACTTATAACATAAATAGTGAAAAGTGTGTGTTACATTGTACAGTGGCATTAAGTGCCGAAACGTGCACCTCTGCCTACCCCTTCGGGGATAAAAACGCGTGATGTTATGTTATGTTTAATTTTATTACATTCTTCTTGTAAAATGCTTAATTGAGGACGAGAAGAATTTAAAGTTTAAAAGAGACGAAATAAAATAACTAGAATTGATAAAGAAAATCATTTCTGTAGTTCGAGACTATTAGAGATTGACTTACATGACTAGACAAACATTAACATTTTGTTCAGCTAAAATACAAATGCTTGAGCAAAATCTATAAAAATGTAATACACTGTTTGACTAACAGTTTTGACTGTTAAATTTTCGATAATTCTTTGAGAATTTCAAGATAAATGCTTCTACCATTCTATCAAAAAAAAAACGATATTTACATAATAAGATGTTAAAGAATTCTAATAAAAGAATCAATCAGAATTATCCACCAATAAGAACCAGTCCATTTAAAGTTATTCATCAATTAGAATTAAACCAATAAGATTGTTTCTTCTCTCCATTTTATGATATGTCAACCTTAAAATAATCCTCTACTTTTACTAAAAAAATAAGCCAGTATTTCATTAGAACTATCACACGAAGCTAGTCAAGTAACCATCTATACTAAACGCTCACCTATCATCAAAGGTAGTCATTGTCACAGAAAGTACAGCCGCACTGTTCGCGCAACGTCCACGCAACGTCAACGCAACGACAACGCAGCTACAAATATGTAGCGTAAATTTCAGCTACTATGTCTCTTTGTAATATAATATTCTGGCTGTGTTCAGTATTCAGTAATTGTTGCATGTTGTGACTGAATTTAGTTCAGCACTAATTTGACTGATCCGTGTGTGGATTTGTGTAGACTGACAAAGTTGCTATTTCTACGAAACTGTAAACTAACATGTATGCATGCTTTTTTATTTGTTTTTTTATAACACTTACAGCTAATTTCAATATCATGCAATATTCCTTTACATATTTAACGCATCTTTAGCATGGTGGACACACTTGCACTTGATAAAAAAAAAGGTAAAAGGACGAATGAAAATTTTTGCATGATTGTTGTGGTAGCTGGGTGTCGCGAAACGTGTCGCGGGTATCGAGTCCCGGACAGAACAACTCTTTGTGTGATCCACAAATTGTTGTTCCGGGTCTGGGTGTCATGTGTATGTGAACTTGTATGTTTGTAATCGCACTCACGACACCGGAGAAAGCCCTTGTGAGGCACAACGTTTAAAAAAAATAAAAAAACTTATTTAATAACATTAATTTGAACGAAAACAAATAAAACTTCTCATAAATTTATTCATGTCCAACTAATTAACACATTCATACGCAATATTTTTTCACAATTTGTAGGCTTACGTGTTTCGTAACCCTTTGGGAATACACGCGTGATGTTATTACACGGACTAGTTAAGTCACTGCCTACCCCCTTGGGAGATAGACGTGGCAATATGTGCCTGTTTTTATATAAAAATATCTTTTTCTTGCAACTTCTTTTAGTCCAACATTTCGTATAGTAGTCAGATGAGAGAAATAATAACGTACTGTATCATATCTCAAAGGAATTGTAGGTTTCAGGGAAAAAAGTAAATCTAAGTCATATTACAGATAGGCTCCGGCTCGAAGGGCAGGAGTAGGAACAGGGTGGTTTTTAGTCAGTAAGAGCCGGGCGGGAGAAATCATTCGATGATTTCCCCCCTTGAAAAAAAAAGTCATATTACTTACAGATAACATTCTATCTCTATGTCAAACGAGTCAAATCTCATCAACATTTGTTCAGCGATTTAGGCGTTTTAACTCGTCGAGTACCGTCATTATAGACACAATTGTAGAACAATAGGTTGCGGTCACCGGTGTCCTCGCGGTGTTTGACAGTTTAAACTGTCTGTTTAAACTGTAACAAACTTTATAACTTATTTAACGAATTCTTGTTCATGGTATAATAATTGTATCCCTAGTTAGGATAGTTAAGTGATCACCCCTTAAAAAACGTTTTTTTTTAGGGACTTTTATATCGCACAGCGTATGTCAGTCCCATCGTAATCTAATAAGGTATAAATCAATTAGAGATCAATGAATCAGAGCCATGAAGTTGAATAACATACTCGCATTATCAGTACTCGGCTCATTTGATATATCGTTTTTGTTCAACTTCAAGTCCCTGAGCAACTTATTCCTATCAGTCTCATATCGAGCACATTCCAATAACAAGTGATGCATGTCCTCGACATCTCCACACACCTTACAGAAATAAAAAAAGTTAGGATAGTCAAAAAGTTTAAAGGCTTTTTTTTGAGGGGGAAAATCATCCCGTGACTTCTCCCACCTTGGGTTAGGCAAAAGCTGGGGATGTCAGACTGTACTGTACTGACTAAAAACCACCCCATTCCTACTCCTGCACTTCGAGCCGGAGCCCCAGCAACCCGCCAGGCCTTCCACGGCTCCGTATCGGGCATCAGCCTACTAGGCCCCATCTGTGGTGGTTGGAGAGATTAATCCGCTACTTCTTATACTCACTGGACTGCCTCATTGGCAAAGTGGTCGCAAGTGCCACTGTCGGGCAAGAGGTCTTTGGTTCAATTCACGGGTCGGGCAAAGTTACACTGGGTTTTTAAAATCCCAGTAGTAGCACGGAGTCTGAAATAGTGCCCGGTATATGGCAATAGGCTCACCCCTATTACATGGGACTCATAACTAGAGGTAAATAGTGAAAAGTGGGTGTTATATTGTACAGTGGCATTAAGAGCCGTAATGTGCACCTCTGCCTACCCCTTTGGGGAAGAAAGGCGTGATGTTATGTTATGTTCTTATACCCAAACAGGTGAACCCAAAGGCGAAAACTTAGTATGATTATAAAATTCGCCATCTTCAGGCCAAAAACCTTGAAAAACCAATTACAAGCACAAATTCTATTATTTAGCCAAAATAAAGTGCTTTATAATTGGTTTAATTAAAATAGGTCTCGTAAAATTTGGGTCGTTGTATAGGGAAACTTTACATTCGTTTCAGTCTAGACTTTAGACCTGTTTTGGGGTAAATATTTTGGTATTATTTTATTTTTGAAAACCAAGGTAATTTCGTCTTTTTGTAAACACCTGATTACTTTATTTAATTAAAGAAACTTGTGTGTTTTCCCTAATGGAGATAGGTATAATTATATACATGTATATATATATGTCCTTATATTCATACTAGTTAATTACACGTGGTATATTCATTACTATGTAAGATTGTATCATGTACTGATAGTTAATGTATGTATATATATAACTTCACGCCTTTCATCCCCGAAGGTAGACAGAGGTAGACATTACAGCACTTAATGTCTTTGTACAATGTAACACCTAATTTTTACTATTTATTCATTATGAGTCCCATGTAATAGGGGGTGAGCCTATTGCCATATACCTTTTTTTTAAGATTTTTTTTAAAACCCAGTAATACTTTTCCGAACCCGGGAATCAAATCCAAGTCCCCTTGACCGACAGTCGAACTACTGACCACTCGGCCAACGAAGCACGCAACGATATAGTTAACTAGTTTTATTTATTTATTTTTGTTCAAAGTCATCATCATCATCATCACTCGTTTATTTTTTTTATGAAATAGGAGGCAAACGATCAGACGGTTCACCTAATGGTAAGCGATCAACGCCGCTCATGAACACCAGAACCCTATAGGAGTCACAGGTGCGTTACCAGCCTTTTAAAAAGGAATACTCATTTTTCTTGAATACGTTCATTTCTACATAAAAAT